AGAGGTGCGATGTTCTATGTTGGCGCTTTCGCGCGGCATAGTCTGCAGCTGTCGCTGCGCAGTTCGCGCAATTCGCTGCCGCTTTCCAGGATACTAGCTCACACAACGTGGAGGCTTCGATTCCTAGCGCGCCACGCCAGCCCGCCAAGTCATACGGATCATACGAATCATACGTTCATACGGTCATACGGCTTGGCACAACGCCACCCTGCCGCGCCAGCGCGCTGCTGCTCTTTTGTAAGCTGAGGTGCCTCAACCGGTCCCTCAAGCGGTGGTGCCTGCTGGTGTCTCCGCCGGTGTCTCCGCCGGTGCCTTGATAGATGCCTCAAGAAACGGCTTTGGCTCGCGCTTCGGCTGCAGCCGGTTCAATAGGCACGTCCTGCTTCGGTTTGTTTTTGCTCCCAGGGGGCCCCCGTCGTTTCGGCTTGGGCGGCGCAGCGTCCGGCGCAGCGTGTGGTGCCTCCTACGCAGCGTGCGCCTCTGGTGCCTCTTGTTCGGTTGGCTCCATCCTTTGTTCTCATACGTGGTCAAGATATAACACGAACAACAAAGACGACCCGCAAAGCCGGACGACATTGCCGTCCAGGTCGGTCAGCCGGAAGCGCATGTGCCTCAGGGTGACGGGGCCCCTGAAGGCCATGAAATGCCCGTCTCCATAATGGTGCCCGTGCCGCTCTTCAGCATAATCTTGGAAAGGATGTCGTCGCCCTGGTTGGCGTTGGCCAGCTAGGCGCAACGCAGGTAGACCTCGTTGCGTGCCATCATCCGGAAGAACTCAAAGACCTGCTGCCGAAGCTCCAGCCTGTGGTCCACGCTGAAGGGCTTGGTGGGAGAGGCGGGCGGCGTAATAGGGTAGTCCGCTGCATCTGGGAATTGCTGCCGCAGCTCCAGATCGTTCAGCCAGGGCCTAGAAGACCCGTATGGCTGCGTTGATGACCCTCAGCTTCTGGGAGCTCACCCAGGTGCTGATCTGCATGTGCCGGCCTTGGATGAAAAGGGTGTCCAGGGTGCCGTGAGGCTTGTGCAACTGCGACAAGTCAGCAAAGTCGTCGATGACTATAAGCACCTGATACAATTTCTTCATTTCCAACTTCTTGGACGTTTCTATGATCTTGCGCTGCTGCTGGATAATGCGCCGCAGCGCCGCCTCGTCCCACTCCCCAATAGGTCTGCTCCCGCTCCGTATTCACCCCCAGGCCTCCTCCATATACTTCTTGACGGGGATCCAGCCGTCGTCTATGTTGACACTCGGGCTGAAGATGTATTTTTTTTGAAAGACGCCGCGATACTGCTCCAGAATCAGGCTGATCAGAGCCACCATGGGGTCAGAAGACTGCTTATTATTATATTCTGTCGTAGGAAACAATTTGCTTTTCCCCATTCCTTTGCGTTACTTCCCCAACTTGAAGCTGGGAAGCCGGGCGGCGAATGTGGGAGGGCCCTGCTATATAGCAGGGCGCTTCCACAATTTTCCGGGAGCGCGTCGCTATATAGCGGGGCGCTCCCGCAGTTTTCCGGGAGACATGCCATATTTACGGCATCGCATCCGGAGTTTTTTTTCAGGGAGACGCGTTGCAGCCACATACCTGCACGCAGCGTTTTAGGTTTCGAATCCTTCGCAGGACGAGGTCGTTTCCTGGACGGACGAGTGCTAGGAGCCTGTCAGGTAGAATAGAATCCATTTGGGAAACCCCCTCTAAAGAGAGAGAGACCCCAACATTTTGTCGAAAATTCGGGGGGTTCTGAATAATTTTGCTTTGAGTTCCCGTGGCGTGACCCGGCCAATATTTTTTTTTTCCGAATTTTGGGTTGTTTCCAGCAATCCAGCTCTTAGATTTTCCGGACGTTACCCCCGCAAATTTCTTCAGAATTTGGCGGCTTTCCGAAATAAAGACCGGGCCAAATTTCGGGGAAATTGGGAACTTGAGTGAATTTTTTCAAGAATATATTATATAGATTTCTTTTGAAAGGGTCGATTTGTATGTCATATCTTGCACGAACATATTCTCTACTGGTCTGGATGGCTGGAGGCTTGATGTTCCAGAAATTCGTTCTCAAAGATTTACCAGTGATGACGGTGATGAATAATCCGAGCGTACAAAAAGGTGAGATACAGTTCTTGGTGAACTTCATCATGTTGACCGATGGGTTTTGTTCCAACAGCAAGCAAATCCAATTATTTGTCCTTGCCAAAGCAAACAATTAAGGATAATCAGCTTGAACTGCCTAATTTTGAGCAAGACAAAATAGAAATGGCACCTCCTATACAGAACAGTTTAACCCAGCAGAAAACAGAAAAGAGGAGTCTTTAGTATATTATTGTTTTGATATAATTATTACATATTATAATGTTATAAATTAATTGTAACAAATACAATGCAAATTATATATTTATATAAATCAAAAATCATATATAGCATTCATTAAATCTTTTGTATATTATATATATATATATCATATCTATATATAAGTAGCTATATATGTGCATGTAACTTGTATTCATGCATATATCTATATATTCAAAATGTGTATACATAGTAAATTCATTCACAGATACAAAACATACAGACAAACAAAACATGTTTTTTTGACTGACTATTATTTTTGATATAATTATATATAGATATTAGTTTACTGAAATTTCATCTTCCTATATACACGGAAAAGAAGGAGATTGGCAAGAAAGAGGCTTGGGAGGAGTGAAGGAAAAAAGAAAAGGGAGAGGTCTACCATTGTTTTCAAGGATTTATGGATCTATACCTTTGGATGAATTAATGATTTTCGTTATATGTTCTTGATTGAAGATCATACTCCATTTGATTGTGTTTGCTATGAAGGTTAATCCTATTTCTCGTCCTTCTTGCTTTTCGACAACAACCTGCCCAATCTTCCCATTTTTTTATAAAATAGAAGGTACAGAATCCAAATCATTCCAATGGATTCCCGCAATGGGTCCATAGAAACAAGGACATTATCATTACTTTCCCAAAATAATAAAATGAATCCATTTTGCTAACAACTTTTTGTGCTTGGGCATCTTCTCCACATATGGTTTATTTTCCATAAATCATTAAAATGGTTTTCACTCAATATGGCTTTTGTGGTTTATAACTAGCTATTAATAGTATTTCATCCGGTTAGAATTTCAATATATAAAAAAACATAATATACAAAAAATACATATCATTATATCTATACATAATATTAAATCTAAAATTTTTTAATATTATATAGATATTTAAGAAGTATATAAACAATACCATAATCAAATACATTTTTCAAAAAAATCCGGCAAGAAAGTTATAAGAGAACAAAAGATTAAAATAACATATTAGCTCTTTAGCTTATGGACAATACACAATTCATTTTAATTACAATGCCCATATAAACGGGTTTAAAAACAAACCCACCATTAACACGACCACAAAAAGGAAACAAACGAAGCTTAAAAAGGGGGAATACAACATGCAACAATGTGGAAATATGCCATCTTTGTAAACCAACCCGTAAAAACAAATATAATTAGATTAAAAAATAAAGACAAACACAAAAACAAACAAACATTACCAAATAACGAATACGAACACGACAAAAAGACATAAAGAAATAGAAATGAACGACAAACAAGGACAAACAAAGACAAACCGAAAAACACAAACAATAACACAAACACACAAATAGAGACAAAGAGGCACAAACACAACCAAAAAAGAGATTAAGATATACAGAGATACACAAAAATAAACAAAAAAGATAAAATAGACAAACATAAACATATGCAAAATACTAAGAAATACAGAGAAAAAAACCCGGCACAAAATTTTCGAGAAATTTCGATTCGGATAAATCCCCTAATTTCCCTAAAAGTTAGCCCGGTTTTTTTAAACAAGCCGCCAAATTCTAAAGAAAATTACGGGTGAAACGCCCAGACACCTAACAATCGTATCGTCGACAACAACCCAAAATTTATCGAAAATTTAGTCACGAGAATTCTAAGCAAAATCAAGAACCCCTCCCAAGATTTCGGCAAACTTTCGGCGCCTTCCGGGCTACGCGAAGAAACGGGAGCTTATATCGGAGAAAAAAACGACACAAACACAACCATTCATCACAAACACTATAATTCCGCCGAAATACCACTATAACAACTTACCAATACAAAAGAAACGCGACCTCGAAGCGATACCGGTTTGTAAACTATATTTTTCACTATACATATACATATACCCAATTTAATAAAAAACAAACAAAAAACAACAAATAAATCAACTAAATAACATTATTTTTTTTGTAAACAAACCATAAAAAAATAATATATAAAATTCAAATAAACACAAACACATCTTCCTAATCAAATACAAAATAATATTTTTTCCTTCCCCCCCATTTTTTCCATTATAAAAAACCTTATTATAATTATTAATATAATTATAAATATAAAAATAACAAATAAAATAAACATTATTCAACATTCAAATTTCATTCTAATTTTCCAACCTCGAATTTATCATTCCGACAAACGCAAATCAACATTTGTTTCTTAATCCTCTCTAAAATCTTCTTCCGAGAGATTAAACCATTTTTGCATATTAAACACCACATTATTTCGTTTCCCCGACCCTTATTCTTCTAAGCGACCTTTACCTCGTATCCGGGTACAATTTTCATTGTAATTCGTCCTTTATAAAACAAATATTTCCAGAACCCCACTCGCCGCTTAACTAGACGAATCGCCTACATAGCTGCCTTCCATGCGCATGAGTTGTTCCAAAGTATTATTCTAATGCTTAGCTTCACTCTAGCTACAAAAGACATATATTCGCTTTGTATATCGTATAACAATTCACGAGAAATCTATATGTTCAAACCGATCTAAACCAACAAATTTGAATACTTATTCAATATCCATCTTTAAAAAAGCAAGTATCGCTGATAAATTCAATTCATTTATCCTACGTTCCTATTTGCAGGCTTCATCTTCTAAGATGCCCGTACGTCAACTACTGAAGCCAGCTGTACTGTCTAGGGGGCACAACTGCAGGTGCAGCTTGCCTCTGTTGGTCTCTGACCCCCTGCTAAAAGTTCGATGTTTGATAGCTCATAGGGAATGTGGGGAAATAGCCATCAAAGGATACCAATTTCCAGGTCAAAGGTCGTACTAAAGAGCAACCAAGTTGCGGCGCAGCTTGCGGGGCGCCCCATGATTCAGGGCCATAGCCAGCTGGGGCTTGCGGGGCGCCGTAAGCCGACGCTTGCGGGGCACCGTAAGCCGACGCTTGTGGGGCGCCGTAAGCCGACGCTTGCGGGGCGCCGTAAGCTGGGGCTTGCGGGGCGCCGTAAGCTGGGGCTTGTTGGGCGCCATAAGCTGGGGCTTGTGGGGCGCCGTAAGCCGCTGCTTGTGGGGCGCCGTAAGGTGGGGCTTGCTTCGGAAAGGCGGGCGGGTCAGACGCCTGAAGCCAGCTAAACTGCCCCGAAGGTTGCGCACTTTGCGGTTGAACCGCCGTCTGCGTAAAAGCTTGGTGCGGCATGTGTGGTTGTGGCGCATGTGGCTGCGGCATGTGCGGCTGCGGCATGTGCGGCATGTGCGGCTGCGGCACATGCGCCTGTGAAAATTGCATTTGCTGTGCTAGCAGCTGCGTTGCATAGGCTGCAGGCGATTGCAATTCCTGAGGCTGGGCAGGCAGCGACTGAGGCTGCGGCTCAGGTTGAACCGGCTGCTCCGTCTGGACCAAAGCCGTGTCCGGCTCAGCCTTGTCGTCCTGATCTTTGGATCTGGACCTCTCCCTTCGCTGGCTCTTCCGGTCCCGTTTCTTGGACCGGCTTCTGCGGTCTCGGCTCTTCCGCTCCTTGCTCCGGCGGTGGCTCCGGCGCTCCCTGCTGCGCCGGTCCCGGCTCCGTCGCCGGCTCCGGCTCCGGCGCTCGCGGCTCCGGCGCTCCCGGCTCCGCCGCCGGCTGCGGCTCCGCCGCCGGCTGCGGCTCCGGCGGCGGCGCGGCAGCGTGCCATCTACCAAGGCCTGCAGCTCCCTTGGGATGTCCTGGTTGTTGCGCAGCATGACCGTCTTGATCTGGCGCCCTTGGAACTCATCCCGGTCGGTCAGGAAGGTCACCGCGGTGCCTTAGCCAAACGCAAAAACGAACTGACGCTTTGCGGGCCGAAGCGCATGAAACATGGGCAGAAGGCCAGGGTGCCCTTCATCCCGGCACGCCCGGTGCGCCCGATGCGGTGAACATAGTCCTCAGCATTCTTTGGAGGGTCGTAGTTGATCACCAGGGTCACACCCTTCACGTCGAGACCGCGCGCTGCAACATCCTTGGCCACCAATCTTTTCGGACGGCACTTGGATGTTTGGACATGGCTGGAGGGTAGTCTTGGCCTTGGGCCCTGCACACCTAGATTGCCAATCAAGGGTCCTCAATCAACATCAAGAGTCAATGGTCAATTATCAGCGCCAACATTCACGTGCCCTTGAAAGACGAATACCGACCTGTCAAAAACATATCAAACGACTGTTAACTAGAATCAGAAGTTTCAGTATGAGAGAACCCTAACCTGAACGAAGTCAGCACCATCATTCACCGTCCATTCTTGGGGGGCAGGTTCCAGGAATCTGATCTTAGTCCCCCGCATCCATATGAAGCAATTCTTTCGGGGCAGATTGACAACATCCGTGGTCGATCGGCAGCAGTTGGGATTGGCGGTTTATTGCATAGGGCAGGAATCCAAAAAGTGGCCCACAGTTTTGTCACACAAGTACTGCCGTATCACCACAAGACACAAATACATTGGCAAATAAACACGCGTGCCACGAATACTCGTCTTGCACATATTCCGAATGGGGTGTCCGCCCCAAAAAATGAATCTCTGGAATTCGACAGGCGACCGCCTGTGCCATAGTCATTTCTTTTGCGGGGCATGGGCATGGTCGTTCTGTTCGTACCATTGGTTGCTTCATTCATGACTCTACCAACCCAAGGTTTTTAACACCGCTTTTGGGGTACATTGGGCCCACATCTGCAAATTAAACATGTCCTATTCCATATTTCGTCCACCTCGCACCTTTGAAGGAGACGGGTCCCAGACTTTCAACGAGACCTCGGCCCAATGATCTGCTCGAAGTCCGCCCCGGGGCCCCGGCAGTGGCGCAAATGATCTTCGTGTAGCCATCCCGGAGATCGTTGAGAGCTCGCTCCCTATCCTTCTGCTCCTGCCCAAATCAGCAAGTCCAGTTTCGATGCTCCGGACACAAGCTGTTCAAGGGGTTCCTCCGACTTGCAGGGTCCTCCGGAAGCCAAAGCTAAGCAGAATCTTCCTGCGACAAACAAGTGACTTTGTTGCTCCGCTCTGTGGAGAGGCCCGCGGGCAACGAAAGAAGTGCACCTGGTGACAAGGAAAACGCGTCGCGGTTTTCGCTGGCTTTGTATCTGTGGAAGACATGTTTCCCCTCTTCCAGCTGCGTGGTCAAATGACAATCGGCTCGTCTTGGCTTCGCATCCCTGTAGAACCGTCCCAGATCCACACACGGACAAAAGAAATAACAATAACGCCTTACACGTCAAGCTAACCAGTCAGAACAGCATTTGGTCCAAAGACTCAGGCCAAGTAGATCATTGGAGCCGCAATCAACACCTTGTCTGAGTTTATCCAAAGCAAAGAGTACCCCCTACTCCTTCTTCGCAAAGGGGCCTTTCATTTTGCACCCCTCGCAATTTCAAACTTGGGTGTGCCTGAACCCTTTAACCCTGCCCCCCCTGTGGTTGTTTCCCAATCCAGTTGATCTCCCGCAACCATTTGGCTCAAGGCCCCTTTTGTGCATATCATTGTATCATCAATGATCGCGTGAAGCAAAAGAACCTTTGCAGGCCGCTTACAGGATTATCCACAAGACAATCCACCAGGGACAATCCATCCTCCAATCATCCACATTGGCATATTGGATTCTTTCCGGAATAGATCCAGGGACCAACAACGACCTCTACTACCACAGGGTACCAGTTCCCTTCTGGGATAGGCACCTGGTGGCGGAGCGGGTTTTCCGCAGAGATCAAAAAAAAGATGTCATCCGAAGGAGAAGGCTTCATGGACAACGGTGGAAGCACCCAAGAGAGGACCTCTACTCAAAAGCAGACGTACAAGGCAGTCCTCCAAAACGACCTTTTGCAAGATCCTGATGAAGGAGTCAACTACTTCAGGAACACGTTGAAGAAGTACTTTTTGAAAGGTGCGACCAACGTGTATCTGTACAGACTCCTCAGTTTCTTCAATCATCGAAGGCAGAACCAAGAGTTCCTCATTTTTACCTCAAAATTCGAAATCCTTCTTATGAGATTGAAGGCAGCATGGATGGACTTGATGCCCGTTTTCACGGCACAGTCTCCATCATTTCGACAGTCCGTACAGGACGCAAATGCAAGAACAATTGCTCGACATCAGCAAGCAGCCGGTGTTCGAGCACCGCCTCCAGCCCTGCTCAATGAGGACGATCCGACAGTCCTCAGACAGTATATCACAGGAATGCAGGACAGACAGCGGGACGCATTTCCCTTCGGGATAATCTCATTGCACAGTTTTTCATCACACAAAGTGAGCTGTCAGATCAGCAAAGAGAAAGACTGACAAGTGCAATGTCATTAAGAAACATCTCACTAGAGAACTACTCCTATGAGATGCTGAAGACGCACTACCATGAACTCTTCATCACGACGAGGACATCGATCCAAGATCCATCCATCCGACCTCAAGGAGGCAACCGAAGCAACACATTCTTCATCATCGAACAAGGTGAATACGAAGGAGAAGAAGGCTTCTGGGTTGAGGATGAAGAAGGACTTGAAGGATTCATGTCAAACAACGATGAAGAGACGTTCTGGGTCCTCGAGGAGAACGATGCGTTCATAGCAAGAAAAGTGTCGGGGCGGAACTTCAAGTTCAAGAAGAGAAAAGGAAAAGGCAAATCAGGAAACAAAAAGGGCAGTCACCAACGAGGTGGCTTCAAACCCTTCAGAAAAAGCGGTTCTGACGAAAACTATGATCCCTACGACCAGGCATATTGGGGAAAAGGCAAAGGAAAGAAGGGAAAGAAAGGAAAATCAAAATTCCAATATCCCTATGATGGAAACAAAGGTTATCCATCCTATGAGAGTGGCAAAGGCAAGAGCGGACAGGAGAAAGGAAAATCCAAGACGTTCGCGGCCACCGCAGAGAAGACGGAGGAGCAACCCGCCATCCAGCAGACTGCACCATCCATAGAGCCTACCTATGCCGGTTGGACAGACCAAGACTGGGATCAATCATGGACATGGAACGAACATGGCTGGTACTTACTCATCACGTGAGACATCCAGCACAGGACAAGCGTTAATGGCATTCCATGATGCATATGAGCATCCTGGGAAAAAGGCCATCCACGAGAAGCTGATCCAATCAGATACAGTTTCAGAACACAATCTGTCCGTCACAACAAATCACAGCCTTCTGGCAACAAAGCTGATGGCGCCTGTCATCAACCCTCAGCACAACCCGACCTATGCGATTCTGGACAATGGATGTACCAGATCTATGTTATGGGCAGCTGGCATGCAATCCAGCGTTTTACTCAGGCCATCGAACCAATGAAGGACATCATCCCCTATGAGTACATCCCGGCCGAGACCAAGTTCACTTTTGCAAACGGAGAGACCGCCAGGGTAAATTGGACCCTGCATCTTCGATATCACACAACTCCTCCATGCAGTGCCAACATCGACGTCCTTGAACAAGGAACTGTACCGATCCTTCTCAGCATCAGCCAGATGCGGAGGAATGAAGAAGAGCTGACAGCCATCCAGATCAAGCAGCTGTCAAAGCAAGCTTTCCAAGAAGCACGTCAATCCGAAGACATCCGACGAGACCTTGCTCAAAATCCCCGAATGAGTTCTAAGCCTCTTCAGGTGAAGGACAAGGTATTCTACTGGCAGGAAGACAAATCCAAGATCCGTTCCGATGGAAGCAAGGGAGGAATATGGCTAAAAGGAAAGGTCATTTCCATTGAAGGAGCGATGGTAGGACTTGATCTTGGGACTCGACTCATCAAGGTTAACATGACGAAGCTCAGGAAGGATGGGACCATCCCTCCGCCGAGGAAACCCGGAATTGATCTTCTGTTACCAGAAGAGCGAGAATCCTTGGAGAAGGAGCAACCAGGCTCCTCTGCAGATACCAAGAAAAAGGAATCAACCGCACCAGCTCCTAAGCCAAGATCCTCAGTGCCATTACGCATCGCGGGAAAAAACAACTCCAAAACCTGCAGTACCTCATCCAGCAGAGAACATGTTCGTCGAGGACCTCACATCCATTCCTGAACAAGCACATTGGAATTGTGTACGTAAGGGAAAGATCCACATTCTCAAGATCTTTGCAGGAAGTGCCAGATTCAGTCTTAAGGTTGGGACTCCCGTAGACATCCGCGCAGGATTCGATGTAATGACATCCAAGGGACGACACATGGTCATGGAGATCATCAGAGAACAAGCAGCTGATGTCATCCTTATGGCACCGGTCTGTGGACCATGGTCAAATATGCAGAACATCCAACAAGACCAACAAAAGGTTGGGTAAAAGCGGAGACGCTACCTTCCCATGGTTGAATTTGTGGCATCCATTGCGCGATATCAGTTGAAGCGCAGAAGATACTTCATCATTGAAAATCCTCAGACATCCAGGATATGGTATCTGAAATGCATGCAACAATTGTTTTCAGATCCATCCGTGACCTGAGAGATTTCCATTTCTGTGCATACGGACTTAAAGATCCTGAATCCGGGCTCAGAAGTCTCAAGCCCACGAGCTTGATGCACTGTTTACCTTCCGAGGTTATGAGACCGATCTTCAGAAGCTCAGTCAAGCATGAACACCAACCCCTAGAGGGAAACGCTGGTACCTTCGGAAGCAGGACCAAACTGGCACAGGTGTATCCTTACCAGTTCTGTCAGGATCTCGCGCACATCCTCCTACGACACTTGCAGGTGAAACCGCTTGGCAATGAGGTGTACCTCTTGGAGGACCTTTTTGAACCATTCACCATCAAGCAGGTTGACATCCTGAGAAGGAGATGGAAGCCATTGACAAGGAGTTCAGACACGCATAGTTGGCTATCCAGATGCATCCTATCGCAACAACGAGGATAAGTCATCCTAACGTGCGCATGTTATTTTCTTGCAGAACAAAGAGATCTTCGCCAGGGCTCATCGAACTCGAGAGGCTCACTGGTCGACTATGAGACGCGCAAGATCACCGCCACAACCATGTCCACTACTGTTGCAGAGTTACACGGACTAATGCGTTGTTACGGTTCAGCATTATTTCTTCGCGGCCTCTGGTCAGACATAACCGGCGAAATTGCAGATGTACACATCCGCACTGATGCGAACAATCTTGTCACCACAGCATCCACAACACATCAACCGGAACAGAAAGAAACAATGCATTTGATCCAGATGTTGAGAAAGGAAAGCAACAGTGGACAGATGCACGACCTTGCACATGTACGGAGTGAAGATTGTCTGGCAGATTCGCTGACCAAGCATTCAGCTAAAGCAGACGAGCTCATCAAGGCCGTCCTCACCGGCAATCTCTTGAATGTAGATGCACATCCACCCTTCCGTACCATGTTGCAGAACAAGGCATTCTTGGTTGAGTGGCTAGCACACAACACGAAGCACGGACCCGACATCATTGCCTTTGCAGGAGTCGGTATAGCAGAATCCATGTTTGCTTATTGGGGAACCTGGGCATGATCCGCATGTCCACGAATTCTGATGCATGAGTTTTTCCGTTTTGCATATTTTCAATTCCTCAAATCCGTGATGCGCGTGTTTGCACTTGACCCATTTTGAATCTCAAGAAATATGTGTCTGCATCCGCAGCCACTTTCGGTTTACAACCAATCCGACCTTTGCAATCTTGTATGCTCGATCACTTCGAAGACATGCCCATTCTCAATATGATGTTCGGACGATCCAGCGCCGCGGCACCTGTGCCAAAGCCGATGATCAAGAGACGGGCATCACCGTTGAAGGAATCCCCTGCTCGTGATGAGGAAGATGAGACATCAGACTGCCCCATGGAGCAAGTCGCCGATGAGAATCCATCCGCCTCTCAACAACCCGAGAATGTCAACATGGAGCAGGTTGATTACGATCCAGATTCCGACGACGATGATTCAGACGA